GTTGCTAAGCTCCGATGGTAGCTGCAGCTTGTAGGCCAGCGGACCGATCCGGGCAAGGATCTCGAATGGTCTGATGTATCATGGGTTTAGCTTTCCCCGTTTTCCAAATCGTACCATCGTTTTCCAGGGAGAGACTTTTAGCAACACACGATCTCCTACTTGGAACTCCAGAGGCTTTCGCCTTTTGTCTGCGTAGCTCTTTTTTCGGTCTCGAGACGCCTGAAACCGTGCCCTGATCTGGATGATTTTCTCAGTTGTTTCCGGGATGATTTCAGGTCCTTTAAGAGTGTTGTTTGGTACCAGCCCTCTCGCTAATTGTGTGTCTCGTACCTCCGCCCAGCAAAGAGGTGATCTGCATTTCTGTCTGTATAAGGCCTCATAAGGAGCGACCTTAATGTTTGTGTGGTAGCTGTTGTTGTACGAGAATTCAATTAGTGGCAAGTGGGTATCCCATGCCTTGCCGAAATCTATCACACAAGCTCAGAGCATATCTTTTAGTGTTTGTATGGTTTGCTCACTTTGGTCGTCAGTCTGGGGGTGGTAGGCAGTGCTCATATACAGTTGGGTTCCTAATGTTTTCTGGAGTGACTGCTAAAATTGAGAGGTGAATCTACTATCCCGGTCAGAGATAATAGATATTGGTACTTCATGTAGTCTCACCACCTCCCTTATACAGATCCACGCCAATCTTTCCATCTTATACGTCTCATTTATTGTCAGGAAATGGGCGGATATGGTCAACTGATCAACAATCACACAGATGGCATCCAATCCTCCTGTCATCTTAGGTAATTTGGTTATGAAATCCATTGTAATCCTCTCCCATTTCCACTCGGGTATGACCAGTTGTTGCATTAGACCTGAGGGCTTTTGATATTCCACCTTAACTTTGGCGCAAGTGAGGCACTTGCCCACATTAGTTGCAATCTCTCCTTTCATATTAGGCCACCAATAGTGTTGTTTAAGATCCAGGTACATCTTATCAAAGCCAAGATGGACGGAAAATCTTGTTTTGTGTGCCTCATTCATCACCACGTACTGGAATCCACCGAACTTTGGCATCCATATCTGGTCCATAAGATAATAGGTTCCATCCCCTTTGATGGTTAAGTTCATTTCCATCCTACATAACGCTTCATTTGCGACATTTTCTGGTTTCAAGGCTTCTTGATGAGCATCCTTAATTTGTGAAGACAAGTGGGAATGGAGGATTATCGATAGTGTTCGCACCCGGCGACCTGAATACTCCTTTCGGCTTAAGGCATCAGCTACCACGTTAGCTTTGCCTAGATGGTACCTGATCTCACATTTGTAGTCGTTTAGAAGCTCGAATCATCTTCGCTGCCTCATGTTTAATTTCTTCTGATTTAGAATGTGTTGGAGGCTTTTGTGGTCTGCGTAAATTGTGTACTTTGTCCCATAGAGATAATGCCTCCCAATTTTCAAAGCAAATACCACTGCTCCTAGCTCGAGATCGTGGGTAGTATAATTCACCTCGTGGTTTTTCAGTTGTCTGGATGCATAGGCAATCACCTTTCCACGTTGCATTAGTACACAGCCCAAACCTTGGTTAGAAGCAATATACTACAAAATCCTCCGTTCCCTCTAGAAGTGACAAGACTGAAGCACTGCAGAGTGCTTGCTTTAAAGTTTAAAAGGCTGTCTCTTGCTTCTTTTCCCAGGTGAAAGACACCCCCTTTTGAGTTAGAGTGGGGAGAGGTTTGGCGATTTTTGAGAAGTTTTAAATGAACCTCCGGTAATATCCAACGAGACCCAAAATTTTGCTAATCTCAGTGGGTGTTGTCGGAGTTACCCAACCCTCAACTGCCTTAACCTTAGATGGATCCACATGAATTCTCTCTTTACTGACCACATGTCCCAGAAAATTTACTTGGCGAATCCAAAACTCGCACTTGGAGAGTTTTACGTACAATTTTTCTGCTTTAAGTGTCTCCAAGACCTATCTCAAATGTTGGCCATGTTCCTCTCTGCTTCGGGAATACACCAGTATGTCGTCGATAAAGACTATTACGAAGTTGTTGAGGAAGGATCGATAAACTCGGTTTATCAAATCCATGAACACCACTGGTACATTCGTCAGTCCAAATGGCATTACAACAAACTTATAGCGACCATAACAAGTTCGAAAGGTAGTCTTGGGGACGTCTTCTTCTTGGACACGTAGTTGGTGATATCCGGATCTCTTTAAAAAAATCTATCATTTAGACTTTAAGAAGGTTGAAGAACTATATGCTCAAGTGTTTGAGGCTTTGAAAAAAACTATATAATCATTATTCTAATATTTCTTCGATAACAAAGAATGATGGTTCTAGTTCCTTCAATACGAATGATAATGATGGTCAAAATTTTGTTGGTGTGGTTAAGAATAAGCAAATGAGAAAAATAACGATGAGTTATATGAAAATGATGTTGAAGATGCTATGGAAAAATATGAATCGGAGGAATATCTTGATGCTCCATCAAATAAATGACTAATACAACATTTGAAATTTTGAAGTGGTGGAGTGACAAATGCACAACATACAATGTGTTGGCATCAATGACAAAGGACATTCTAGCCATTACGGTTTGTACGGTTACTAGTGATCCTATTTTTGGTACATTCGGTATTGTGGTGGATGACTTTGGTAGTAATTTGCTTCTGAAGACGGTGAAAGCTTTAATATGTACTAAAGATTGGTTGAGGGCATCAAATGTTTGTATCGACCCTGAACAATTATTAGAAGTTGTGAAAAAATACAATGAAGGTAAGTTACATAATTATGTATTATTTTATTTTATGTTTCTTATATAATATTTATTATTCTAGTTTGACTTTTTATGTTGAATTTCATTACAGAAATCAATCGCAATATGAAAGATCTCCTATGAGGGAATAAGTAAATTGTCATTGTTGTTTTTTGCTATTATTGGTTGTTGTTTTTGTTGTTGTTGTTGTTGTTTTCGAAGTTGTTGTTTATGCTGTTTTGTGATGTTGTTTTGTGTTGCTTTGTTGTTTTGTGTTGTTTTGCTATTGTTGTCTTGTTGTTTTGAGTATTTATGTTTTGTTGTTATGTTGTTTTGAGACTATTTTGCTATTGTTGTTTTGTTGACTTTTGTTATCGTTGGCAATTTGAATGATTTGTAGTTTATACAATATCAATTTATTATTTTTACTTGTTAAATTTCACTTGTTTTGCTGTTTTGAGATCAATTTTTCTTTTAATTGTTTTAGTTTTATATCTTTAACTCTTATTGCTTATAAAAGTTAATTTTAATGACATGTATTATATCTTTAACTCTTATTGCTTATAAAAGTTAATTTTAATGACATGTATAAAATAAAAATAAAATTTAATATTCAAGAAACCGAGTACCCAAAACCGGTTTTGACAATTCGTGGAGCGCTTCCAAATTTCTAGGAACCGGTGTAAGCGGTTCTAGTCCAATACCAATAATTTCAGTACCATCGGTTTCGGGAGTAATTTCGATTCCAATTAAAATATACGGGTACCTGTTTGTGCTTATCCCTACTCAGGTACGCTAATTCGATCTCAAAACACTCATCGTACGAATTAGAATCACGATTGATCACTAATTTAACCATCGGAGTTTAGGAGGTCCTAGGTTCAATCTGAATCCTAGACAAATGAGATATTAAAAGTATTTCCCATTTCAAAAAAAAAAAAAAAGTTCTTCTAGGGCCGACCACGGAGAGCTGACTGGTTGTGTTGTTTTTCAGGCTCGGACTTTCGGACGTTGTTCAAGCTTCGCCTACCCAAAAAAGGCCGGTAAAAATCATCAAGTAATCAACCTGCTCACTAAAGTTGTAAAGCTATGTTGGAGATTTGTAAAGATGAAGGCCAAATTGGTCGTAATCCAAGTCTAGTTTAATTAAGGGGGAGTATTAGACTTGGCAAAACGTCTGAACTAGATTATTAATATAGGTTAGTTATCAAATATGACAGTTAGGTTAAAGGGAGTGGGGCACCAAGACCACTCGCCTAAAGTTTAACATGAGCAAAACACCACCCTTTACATCATGTTAAGTAGACACGTTAAGAAGAGTTTGCTAGTTCACTAGCAAGAAGAGAGAGAGGAAAAAATTCTTTGGTGTGGGCTGTCATTGATCATTTTGTATTTATTTATTTAAAATTCTTTTTTTACTAAAATCAGAAGGTTGTAATTGGTCATCTTTTATTTGCATTTTTGTTCTAATTTGTTTCCCAACATCCAAGTGTATATATTTTCTATGACAAAAGATTAGGTGGAAGAAAAGATCTGATATGATATTTTTAGCATCTCTTTAGCATGTCTCACCACTCTCTATAGCCTTATCCTACACATTGGGTGACATTTTTAGCATCTCTTTAACATGTCTCACCACTCCCCATAGCCTTATGCTACACATCGGGTGACACAGGTGTAACAGCAAGAATATAGCTAAAGGTCGTCGACTCTTATTTGAACACTTGTCCGTTATTTTTTAACTTGGCCGATTCAAAAAGGTCGTTATCAACTATGACTCCAAAAACTCTACCGGTTCTGCAGTTCGCATATGCAAGCTTTAACTCGTGAGGACAGAATCGCATGTGCTTGTAGTGCATTTATCTTATGTGATAGTGATGAATCTTGGCCACAATTTTAAATTCCATATCTTAAGTCTTTATGACTCCAACATAAAATCTAATTCTTTTCAACTTGGCCCTTTTAGATTATTTCTTATAGAAATTTCAACTCAAATTTATGTGAACTTTTTATACGGTAATACTATTTCATCCACAACTTGTATCTATTTGCTCGTTCATTGTTGATGAATATTTTATATAATTAATTAATTAATTAATTAATATAATATATGTAGGTGCCTTTGTTTGTTTGTTTTGAGATGGGTGTATTTGACTACAAAAGATACTAAAATAAAATAAAAAACCAATCAAGTGGTGGTTTGATTTCTTTTTTATTCTTTTCAAAAGATTTATATAAATGAATTTTTTTTAAATAAAATAATATAACTTATATTTGTCTTAATTTTGAAATAAAAAATAGAAATTGAAATGTGAAACAAAGGTTTGACTGTGCATTTTGACCAAGCTGTCACTGCTGACCATCTTACCTGTCTTACGTGTCCGCTATTTTATCCTCATTTTGAAAGGGAAATTCCTCCCTCCTTCCCATTGCTTTAAAATGAACATATCTATTTATTTATTTTCGTTATTTTCTACAAAAATAAACTATACTCTCTCTGAAAATTCTGGTGAGAAACGATGCCGTACTGCGACGTCGGAACTACCAACAATGGTATCAAGATTTTCTACAGAACCTACGGCGGCGGACCCGTTAAAGTTCTCATGATCATAGGTATCTATCTATTACTGTTAGTGTTTCCCAAAAAAAATTATGATCTTCGATTTACGTGGTTGAACTTCGTGTCAGGATTGGCCGGGACACACGATTCATGGAAGCCACAAATCGAGGGGCTGGTTGGGACGACGCAGGCGAATGATATTGATGATAATCGGAGCTCCGAAGACGGTGTGTGCAATGGGAATGGGAATGGGATAGAAATTTGTGTTTTTGATAATCGAGGAATGGGTCGAAGCTCTATACCTAAAAACAAATCTGAATACACGTACGTAAGCCTGTTGTGATTTCAGTCAAAAATCGTCAGAATTTTATGTCTTATTTGTGTGAACTTCCGGAAGAAGAAGAAGAAGGAAAAAAAAAAAAAGGAAAACGCCAACTTTTACACTTTATCGTTCCGGGCGATATTAATTATTTTAAGAGTAAATAATAAATAATCAAATTTTGGAATAATTAATGAACTTTCAGTCTACAATTAAAAAAGATTGTAACTCACTAACTTGTACTCGTCTCGTGGTATATATTTCATCATCTATTATCTTTTTCAATAATAAATATTTTTCAAACAAATTACAACTTAAAGTCGAGTTCCAACCAAACAGCATATGGATAATGTTGAATGTTGAGCGCAGAACTAAAATCATGGCTGCAGATGCAATCTCTGTAATGGAGCATTTAGGCTGGAAGAAAGCTCATGTATTTGGGCATTCAATGGGTGAGTTACTGAGTCGGAAATATATATATATATATATATATATTTTGTTTCAGTATATTTATTTAATTATAATTGATACATTGATACATGCAATATAGGTGGTATGATAGCTTGCAAAGTGGCTGCTGTTTTCCCAGATAGGGTTCTGTCCTTGGCTTTGCTAAATGTAACCGGTGGAGGCTATGAATGTTTCCCCAAGGTACACTAACACTACTAGTAGATTGATTCATGCCACTCCTTCCTAGATCACCTTTTCTTCTCTTTTTATAAAATAATTTAATTGATTATTGATACCATCATCTACTAATATGGTGAAAATGGTTGATGCAGTTTGATCGTCAAACCTTATCCATTGCAATGCGTTTCTTGATGGCCAAAACTCCAGAGCAAAGGGCAGCTGTTGATCTAGACACTCATTACACACAGGTTAGGTTTATACCATTTCTCCATATGATGATGATGTTTATATTATCCATTATCTATTATACAGTTTGAACCTCACCCCATGTATCTATGCAGGAATATCTAGAACAACATATTGGAGTTAAAACAAGAAGACAGGTATTATATGAGGGATATGTGGAAGGGATATCAGCAACTGGGATGCAGTCAAATCATGGGTTTGATGGCCAGGTGAACGCCTGCTGGACACACAGAATTTCTAAAAAAGAAGTTGAAGTGATTGGCAGCCATGGTTTCTTGATATCAGTCATTCATGGGAGGTGTGATGTGATTGCTCAAATATCTCATGCAAAAAGGCTTGCACACAGACTTTATCCACTTGCAAAAATGGTAGAGCTTCCAGGAGGTCATCTTGTGAGTCATGAGAGGAGTAAAGAGGTGAATGAAGCTCTACTGGATTTGATCAAAGCATCAGAAACCAAGACAAGCCCTTTTGACTGGACTAATTTATCCCCAAAGCCAAACACATCTACCTCTAGTAAGTATTACTACAGTTAGGCAGGCTATCGTCTTTGGAAAGATAATTAATGAATATGAAGAATAGACTGTTGTTTTTATTCTCAGGCTGTTGGGCATCATCATCTAGCAGCAGATTAAATTCAGAGACAGAAAGCACCAATTCTGGGATTGCAGAGAAGACGAGAATTATGATTCTCTATCTATTGGGCTTATTTTTGGTGGTATTTGAGTACATAAAAAGAGCAAGAGTTTTGGGATGTCTAAAGCCAATCAGGGTAGGCTCAGCCTCAGCCCTCGCATGATTTGATTTGATTTGATTTGATGGAAAATATATTGACACTTGAAAGACAGACAACTAGGAATGAAACCTAATTGAGATTTACAAGAAACAAGCTTGGAGATTGAACATATTCATACCTGCTGCATAAGAGACTGAATCAACATATATGGGGATGTCTAACACAAAGCATCTCCTTAAGTTGATTTATGAATATTACCTTACCTGTAACATAATATTCCAAATGGAACAGTTTTAGCAATATGCCATTGGAATATTCTGAATCCATATCACCTATGTGATGTAAAAAGTTGTATCTAATTAATATAAAGGGATTTTGGTGCTCATTTTACCTATATGTTCCTAATATAGATTAAGCACAACAATATGCCAAAAGACTAAAAAATACGTATGAAAGATGTATGTATCCTTGCAACTGAACAAGGACTGGACTGGTGATCAACTGAACATCAAACTAAGTCCGTTCATTTGCTTTCTTGAGGAATGGACAAACTTGGTTACAAAATAATTCTTAGCTACCAAAAACTAATGAAATTGTAGCACAAATCATACTACTACTATTGTTGTGCCCCGCCAAAACTGACCAATCAGCATTCAGAAGAGGTGGCGCCAATAACATAACATAACTAAATCAAATATGAAAGCATAAATGAGCTGAAGCTAATTGACTGGCTGCTTTTCCTTGTGTTTCTGTAGGAGGCATGGAGTTACGTAGAAGACCTGACCTATAAGAAGCCAATGACAAATTGACAATGGAAGCACCATACAAGATAACAAGTTACCCTAAATTATTTTATTTATAAAAAAAAAAAGCTGGAATTGTCAGAAAGTAATTTCACAAATACCCACTGTTTGGTAAAATACTAACTAGTCGTTTTAGTTTAGTGGTTATCCTCCCACTCCAAGAACTAAAACATAAAAATATTACAGCTACATACAACAAACCCAGCTAGACTAACTAGTCGTCTTGTTGATGGGTATCGGTATCTGCTTTTGTGATATGCTTGAAGGGGTCGGTTCGCATATAGGCTTCTGGTCTATAAAACCCCATCTCATTCATTCTATTGCTGATTGCATGAAGTATCGCTTTCTTTTTCCCTCCATATTCATCCTTGTTGTTTTCCACCAACTCATTCGCCTCAGCAGCCAAATTCCTCACAAAAACAAACACATTATCCTCCCACAGCTTCAGCCTCTCTATGTCATACCCCACCAGCTTCCCCGTCTCCCATATGTCCCTCACCTGCTCTTCCACAAACGGGGTTCTTTCCTGTGCGTATCGAATCATTTCATCTTTTTTTGTCTGCATTTACAAAATTACTCATAACATTTAATTATAAATCAATCATACTGTAATATCATCAATAAATCCAGACTTCACTCAAACAGTTTTCGACCATGAATACACAAACAAAAAGTAACTTGTTCATCCTCATTCCTCAACTCACATACATACCCAACCCACCCATCAAACACTTGAAACCTCACAGGTTATGTTCATACATGCTTCATCCTAAACTCAAAACTTACCGCAACTATAAATTAAGTAAAAACTATATCAGAAATGCTTAAATAATGTAGAACAGACCTAGTAATCTTTTTTTTTTTGGAACCGAGGGAAGAACTTATTGATCCTGGATAGATCTCAGGAAAAATCATGAAAATACCTAAATAATATCCAAAACAATATCTTACGGTGACAATTGTGTAATTTATGATAAATTCAAGGTTGGACAACTTTCACATCAACAGATAACAATCAACCTCCCTGAATCCCAAATCCTAAAATACATACAATGTAGAGCCACAAGTGAAGTAAGTTGGTACCAATTTTCTTCTCCTCCATATCCGCCGACGCCCACCGCCTCCGTCCGGTGCGCCCTAGAAAACGAAAAATATCAAATTAGATACTGAAATACACATATAAACAAGGAAACAATTGATAACTACGTCCGTCTATCTATGACCTTGGATTGGATAGAAAGGTTGGAACGCCGTGTATGAGCTTCACTCAACTCGAGTTTCTGCAGAAAGATATTATTGAGGATTTTGTAAAAGTTATGATGATGAATAATCGCAGATCTTGAATAAGTTAAGATAAGACCATGGATTATTTACAGATGAATATAGTGAGTGGAGGTCAGTGAATCCAAAGGACTTCGTCGCTATTGCCATTGCCATGTCTAAATGTTGGAGCTCAAACTCTTATCTTCATGGGTTTCGTTTTTATAGCTAAGGAAATGGCAAAAACCCTGCCATCATATCGACGAATATTCAAGGGTTTAATCAGAAAAACTTTCCTCCACTCTTTTTACACCATTTTTTTTACGATTAACGATGGTATAAGGTAACTATTTATTTTTGTCATTGGTTGGTTTTATAAGGTCATTTAGGTGGTGTTTATCCTTTTCTTTTTTTTTTTTTTTTTTTTTTTAGATATTTTTTTGTGCGGCTCAAGACGTGAATTAAAAAATTTTGGTATAACTATTTTTTTTTTTTAAAACTTTGATTTTTTTTTTTTAACTTTGATCGACAGATTTGATACAATTTCTTTTTATAGTTTCTGCAAATTTTTATAACTTGATTTAAAAAAAAAAAAAAAAAAACTTTGCTTTTTTTGTTTTTATTACCGTTTTTTTAATAACATTTTCAATTTTGGTTGTATCTTTTTTTAACATGTATAATTCTTTTACGAACTTTGTAAACATCGTTTGCAGTATTTTCTGAAATTTTTTATTATAGTCTTTTATTATTTTTTTTTAATTAGTTTTTTTCTAGAATAAAAATGATAGTTTATTTTATATTTTTTAAAATTTTTTTTAGAAATTTTTATATTTTCGTTTTTTTACATGTTCTTTTTTAGTATTCTTTCTTTTTTGGAAAGGGAACTTCCCTAACGAGGGTTTCCGGGCCAGCTTTCGCGCACCGACTAATCCCCCGCTGCAAACATAAAGTTTTGCCTCATGCCCTGGAGTCACTGCAGGCGAACCTCCATGGCCACTTTTTTAGTATTCTTTCAAAGTTTTAAAACTAGGATTATTAAAATTTCGGTATTAACAACTATTTTCAGTTTATAAAATTAGTTTATGTAAATTTCAATTTACTTCAGATGTTAAAAAATAAACATGTTTCTTATTACATGATGCAGTCGTTTGATCCATCTCTTCTGCTGCAGTGGATTGCAGAGGTTATCCACATACTTCATAAATTTTCGCTTCGAAAAAACAAAAAGCACCTTACTCATTTCAATTAATTTTATATATTTGAAGGGTACAAGGTACACACTCATATGTATAGGCGGAGCTAGGCAGTTCCCGAGAGGTCCTTTAAAAAAATTTCAGTAATGTAATTTTTTTCGATTTTTTTTTAGTAGTGTAATTTTTTTTAGGATACCCCTTTACTTTGATCATGGCTCCGCCACTGCTCCTATGCACAAGAAGCAACAAGAAATACCAACACAACATGCAAGAAGTTCTTCTAGCATGGTGGCTTGGCCAACCCACCGCATCATCGGCGGTGTGGTGTTTACCGCATCACCGCGCTGCCATGTAACCTACCGCATGGTGCGGTTCCTTGGTACACCATTTGGTCTAATGTGGCTAAAATAACATGTATTGCATTTTTCCATGTAGATATCATTGTATGATTTTAAAAAGGCATATTAGGTACACTCACATCTCGTTCCTTTCTTTCAATTGCCCTCGACATCGATGCCGACGATTGTACATTTCATTCACTTTCTTCCTTTCTCTGCTTCTATTCTCTCCAGTCTCCATTCTCCCTCAATTTTATATCTATTTGAGAACCCTATCCCCTGCATGAACTAAGACACCATACCATCACTTCATTGAAAAATTGGCCACCCTCACACCATTCCTCGTCGTTCCCTGCTCTATCTCTTTGCTCCACCTACAAATAAATCAAGGGTTCATATCCCGTTTGTTGTTGTTCAACTTCCCGAATTCATCATGAAAATAAAAGTAGAATCATTTAGTGAAGAAACCTAACTTCACATTAGTGTTCCTAATTCTCAATTAAAGGGTAAGAATGAAGTCACAAACGATAATAAGTACTATCATTAATGATAAATCCATGTGAGGCAGGATAGTACGTCATTACCCAAAACAGGGTTGAGTTAAGGCTCTTAACAAAGTTTTGGATACATCTAAGCAACAAAGATGTTGTAAGACTTTACATATATGATCTAAAGGCGATGTGACATCAAATGAAGATTAATGGTTTATCTTCTAAAGGGTCATGAAAAGGACTTCAACGCATGGTTATATTAGCGATCAGTGAGAACGTACAGATGGAAATGGATGTATAGGGGTAAACTGAGGAGGTCATAATGGTCTTGTTTTAAACCTATTGTAACACCTGTTCCAGGTATTATTTAAATTATCTAATTTTTAGTGTTTGTGCATGGACTCGATGAGTTGGGGAGCCCTAAATCGGCGGGTAAAAGAAAACCCTAATTTTTAGGGTTTGCACCCTATTTAAAGAACATAATTCGCCTCTTGTGGCCTCCCTTACCACTTTGTTAGCCAGAGAAAACCCTAGTTGGACCTTGCAACTTCTTGAGTGATAGAAAGAGCTTTTGTGAGCAATTTTGGTGTGTTTGTGAAGGATTTTAGAGCTTGAAGAAGAAGGAGCAAGGAGAGAAGAAGTAGATCTGACATCTACTTTGTATTGGCCACCATCTTGAGGTATAAAGTCATCACCTTGATCTCTAGTTGCTTAGATCCTTTTTCTTGGAAGTAAATGGCCATTTTTGGTGCAAAATGGAGTCATACCCGTATCTGGACTTTATCACAAGGATATGTCTCAGATCTGGACCTCTCTAGGTCCCCAATGGCATAAAGTTTCTCACTTTATCCAACTTAGCCCCTTTCCATGCATAAAAACCTTGTAGGGAGCTTAGTTTTGGTGTTTTAGCATTGTGAGGCCTTTCATGCATGTAAAGTTTGCAACTTTACATGGTAACTACACTAGGAGAAGTTGGATCTGAAGATTGGGACCTTGGATCTCACTGGAAACGACTGAACACAAAAAGGACCGAAGGAACTCATCGAAT